GGGAGTCCGCGTCGTCTGACTAGGCACGCGACCTCCTCCCACCCTGCCCCCCCAGTAGCACTGTCATCTTTCTTTATCATATCTCCCGAAGTCCCCTGAACGTCTTTTCGCTGTCGCTGTTGGCGATAGAGTGATAAAACACACAAAAATAAATGATGGGGGGAGGATAAAACTCTCATGTAAAACTCGCACGCGAAGCCCCCAAAAAACAACCACTGCGGCGCGACACGCGAACGCACTTGTCGCGTGTGCCTGTTGGACGCAAAATGTTTTCACGTGCAGATAAAAGCAGTTTTACGCCGCATAGCTGCTTTTGTAGTGATGAGAGGGACGCAATGATGTAGCGTCGTATTCTTTGCCCAGAGTGTCATAATCCCTGCTCCCGCCGCACCTGTCGCGCTATCGTTACCTGCTCGCTGGCCCTTCACTAGAATGTGGCTGCTGGCGGCGGCGCGTCGCTCTAGAGAGAGGCGTGGCACCGCATCACTTGGGCAACACGCCCCGTTGTGTTGGCACCGCTGGGGGGAAGGGAAAAGGGGAAGGAAAAGGGGGGGAGGTGGACCAAGGGAGACTTTGTTTGCCACGATAACGAAATCGGGCCGATACGACGACGGATTGCAAGCACTATTATTACTGGGGGCGGCGGCAAGCAGAAAAACAAGGAGGATATAAATAAATTACTTTTATTTAACAATGATAATATGGCCAGATACAAATAACGATGGTGATGAGTATGGCAGTGGTACCACCACGCAGCGTGCGGACTAGTAGTATCTTCCTATACGAGTAATATGAATATGTCTCTATCTTAGTCGTATCTTGCTTAAGTTACGTCGATCTTAAAAACCTAATGAGGACTTACTTTAGTAACTTACACACTAGGAATTGCGTTCTGGAAGGACAACATTACATTAGCTCACATAAAAATTACACGCTAGGGCTGGAATCATGCTCCAAGATTACATACGATATAAATAGATTTCGAGATTACGTTTTTCCGATAAAACATACTGTAATTATTATTTCTAAATTTATGTCTATATCATAATCATGAGAATATAAATTTACTCTTGATAATATTTATGGGGTATAACATTTGAACAACGTGCAGTGTTCCTACACTGTGAAAGAGAAGCTCAAATATTGCTACCCAGTTACGAATACTTTTGGATAATATTTTGGGTCATATTTTCATATAGAGCATACATATTTCGTAAAAATCTTACATTTCTCATTTTGTACTCAAACTTTGCTCAGTACGCATTACGAGGTACGCCAAAAGTAATGTGTAGGGAGATACGCTATGAACAAATACATGGTTATATTATTCACTGTTTGCCACCACGTCTTTTCAGAAGTTTCCCTGGGAGTTCGTGGAGCAAACGTCCCGATCTAACGTACTTGTGTACATTTCAATCAAGTGTCCAATCTTGTGTGCATTTTCTTGCCGGCTGCCTTTTGTCGGCCAAACGGTCCTTGGCTCTTCACAAAACACATTCATTCACACGACGCATACATTCAAAGTGCCTTTTTAACATGCTGGGCGGAAATCAAGTATTTCTAATCGTCTCAATGAAGCATTATACGAGTAGTACATATATCGTAATATAGCAATTAAAATACTGATTAGATGCATAATACAATGTCAATGTGGATTAAATGATCAGAAATAAATATTATTCCGTTCGACTTGACGATAATACAAGTAGTATTTTGAATCCTCGTGTATTGAAACCTTCCCCGATATTGGCAGTGATGCTACGTTGCTCGCCGAAAGAGCGTGTGCCTCTTATACAAACCAATAATACACAGGGCGAAGAGCTACAGAGGCTCCCCAAAATAAAAATGTTTCTCCGATGGTACATACTTAGCGCGCAAGAAAAAAATCTTTGGTTACGTATATCGTAAAAATTAATAGTCAGTTACCTCGCGAGTTACCCCGCCGAGCTCAACTCGAATGCTCCCTGCAGTGATCCTGCGGCTCCCCCTCCCTTTCCCGGGGCGCCGCGGCTCCCCGACGTCGCCTCCCTTGCTGTACAATGTCTGTCCCTGCGACCAACGCCGTGTACTAGACGTCCAAAAGGTCCTCCTCCTCCCGCTTCCTCTCCTCTCCTACCGTCCCCTCCCTCCCTCCCTCCTACTCCTGCTCCTCCTCCGATGGCCCCCCTCACATGGTCGTCTCCGCGTTGGCCGCCGAGCCACTGGTAGCGAGGTCCACGGAGCGCTTCCGGGTCTCCTCGTCCAAGACGGACAGCTTGCGCGACTCGAGCAGGCCGACGACGCCCAGCTCGGCGTCGTCCGCGTGCCGCTCCTGGTCCATCTCGTCCAGCTCGTCCTTGGACAGGTGGTACACGATGCCGGCGCCGAAGCCGTCGCCCAGCACGTTGATGGAGGTGCGGATGCGGTCCCTGCAAGCAGGCAGAGGTCGCCGTCGATACCCCGCGCCGCGCCCCACCCCCTCCGGGAGGGGAGGTCAGCCGTGTGGGCGGGCGGGGGTAGCGACGCCAGCGCGCTTAAGGTATCGTCCAGGAAGGACGTCCGTGGTTTTTCTGAGATTAATTCAGTGAATTTTCGGGAGCTTCGACGCCTGCGAAACTCGGGGTAGGCCACACCGCAGAGCACGCATGCACTGCAGACAAGGAGTTGCCTACCCATCAGGCGCTATGAGAACTAGCCTAGGCTGAACTTGGCAGGTTCCCAACGGCGAATGACGGACGTACTTTCGAAATGGGCCCCTATATCCACTTACTCAGAGAGTTGGTGGATCACCTTACCGAAGTGATACTGTACCGGATACAGGGCTTGCCTATCGGGCCCCTTATAGTGAGTAGGCAAGCCCGTATGCGGCACAGTGTCACTGCGAAAAGTCGCTCACGAGGAGTGAACCGCCAACCCCAGTGTAGTACAGCGTAATAAAACGTTTGGACTCACCAAAGAAAATGATAATATCAACAACAAAATAACACCGGGAGTTCCCCCCCCCCCCAAAGAAAGCTCCTCGGAATGTACGTACAACAGCCAGTCGACGGCGAAGAGCAGCGACACGTCCGAGGTGGGCAGCCCCAGGGCGGTGAGCACCAGCAGCATGGTGATGAGCGCGGCCGACGGGATGGAGGCGGCGCCGATGCTCGCCAGGGTGGCCGTCAAGCTGGAAGAGAAGAGAGGAGCCAGCAGGCCGCGAGGGGGTGGGTGAGAAATCGCGCGAGGTCGGCGAGCATAGGCGCGTGGGCTGAATATTTAGCCGGCGGTGACAGGGAGATCAAAGGGATAATGTGACGGAGTGCCGTGACGAGTCGACCGCGGCCAGTCCCACATAATGTGTGTCACATATGGCCTGCGTTGTTCGACAGACTTTATTTTATTGGTGACGCTCAAATTACGAAAATATCGCTTGAGTGGAAATCAGCACAGGGGAAACGAGCAAAGCGCCGCCATATGACCTCTTCATCGTTCAGCTAATAGCCGTGGGACGACCAAATTGACGGTGAGTTCCCCAAAACTGTGTAAAAGCTGTCACGAACTGTTCGTAGTCGAGTTTCTCATCACTCCCGACCCGACACTCCAGGTCTCGTTCCAGGCACTCGAAGGTGAATTCTAAGACATTTGACTATGAGTGAGGGGTATGGAAATGGGTCAGAACGTCTAAACGTTTGGACCAAATTTTGAAAACAATGCATTTTCTGAGGTTTCAAGAGTATGATAACGACATCAAATAATGCATGCAAACAAAGATTTTTTGTGCTATGAAAACTCTAGGAAATCACATGAATATTTTTCAAAATACTTGGGGGGCCACGTTTTCTCCCACACCCGCCGCCCACAACCCAGTCGGTCCGGCGGTATAGACGAGTTAACCCACCTGGTTTACGTAACACCAACTAACACACCCCTCCCGAGGACGCTGACGATTGGGAAAGGGCAGCAGGCAGGCGGAGGGCTGCTGCTGCTGCCTCCCCTACTGCCCTGCACGCCGTGCGTTATGCAAGCCACGCCGGGGAGCCTCACGCTCGCATAAAGCCGCCCTTGTAATTACCGTATCCAATTGCAGTACTACATACGTGTGCGCATACCGGGGTTTAAAGGAGGGAGGTGGGGT